AACTTTTATTCTCGCATGTGAACAGTAGGGGTATATCGTCACATCGCACAGACGTAATCCAGTTTCTCGGCGTATCGAGATGTTCACTTCTATAATAATCCCGACGTGATGGAATGTCGGACGGAGGGAAGAGTAACTTGTAATCACGCGATGTATTATGATTCATCGCGATAAAGCTGCGTGCGCGTTCGTCTCGCACTCGAACATCAACACGCGTCGACGTAATTGTGACTGATGGTCGCTCGATTTTCGCATCGTCTCTGCGAATGGACCTGGTAAACATCGTTCTGGGTCTCCTCGCTCTCTTCATGAACATGCGCACAATAAATATCATTGGATTATTTGACAAAAATGATCGACGCGTTTTTACGAAAAGTTCGTTTTAAGTCACACAAAATGACGTATCGTCATTCTCTGTCTCTCTTTCCGAGTATAAAATTGTTTCAAGTTACATTTGGGATTACATTTGAAGATCTCACGAGAACAACGTGATTAATGACATTTTTTTTAATTTTAGAGGAAAGCGATTTTTTAAAGTTCGAAACGTATATTCTCTGTACACGTTTTATATAAAAATGTACATATCTCGGAATCTATCAAGAATTTCTCTCTCTCTCTCTCGCTTTGGATATTAAAATACTTTATTTTAACTACCAAATAAATCATCAAAAAAAGAAAATCGAAAAAAAAAATAGACTTATCAAGTTCTTCTCCTGTGGTCTCCATTTGCTTATCTATCGTACAAGAGGCGATTAATGAGCATTCGAAACGATACATAAATAGCGGCAGTAGTATCATACTGTTGTTGTTGACAAGTTTTATTCAGAGAAACAAATAGTAAACGCTGGCTCATTGTCGCACGTCGTGTGACAGCTCATCGAAATAGACGCTTTTAATGAGTTTTAACAATCCACCAGCTCTTATTGTTGCAATGGCCAAACTTTATTATTTTTTTTTTAGTTTTATATTGCTGTCTTGTCTGCCTTTCTTACCACATGTCTCGTGTAATTTTTGTTTATATTTCCAAATCTGAAAAAATAGCTCGGTGAAAAAAAAATGTTGAGCAAGAATAAAATCATTCTCTAATATTTATTAACATTGTTTGTGTATATTTTTATATTTTATCGTAAAAAATGGCGAGAAAATCAAAGATAAAAAAGAAAAAGAGCGTTAAAAACAATATTTTTGTTTTCGCTCTATTATGTTTAAATTTAACAATTCTCTTCTTGCCGCTGTTTGTTGTTTGTCCTTTTCCGCGTCATAATCATTCTTCGTTGTAGCAGTTTTTATCTTTCAAAGCTTTTTTGCGGAGTCTCGACCGCGGTTTTATAATCGCCTGTTGTTTTAGGCGCGAAAGAAAGTTCCTTCACTCTTTCTCTCTCTATCTCCCTCCTTCTTTTTGTTTCGTTCTTTGTTTCCACTTGCCACTCTGCGTTCCATCTCTCACCGTCTTTCGCGGAGGCACTTTCTCGCTTAACGACGGCGGAAGGAAAAATAAGTAGTGCCACTCATTTTTAATGCAGGACATAAACCGTCGTGCATCTTGAAAGCAGGCGCGAAATCTACTCGCCAAATTGAATTTTAAAGGGACGTTTGGATTTAAAAACCGATTTGTGCGGTCAGAGTACAATGCTTGCGTCTTGAAAAAAATTGCTCAAGCATTCTCGTGCGAGCGTGCAAGAACAAGAACGTCACTCGTATCTGCTTGAAATCGCGCATGTTTGTTTCAAAGAAATTTTTTTATATAAAATAAAAAATTCAAAATAAGTGATTTTTTCGCGTGGACATAAAAATAAAAATAAAAGACATATTCTTGTTGCGTAATTAAACGGTGATTACTTACAGTAATTAAACTTCCACTTATCAACCAACATTTTCCATCTCTTGTAAATTAACAGAAGCACTCTTTTTTAACAAGTTTTACGAGATTCGTAAGTTTTTATGTCTGCTAGACAAAAAACCTGCAATTTTATGCGCATCGTATAACGTCTCCATTAAATTTGACGATTTAGCGAGACAACAAGAGCGCGCTGGCTAATATTTTCTCCCAGCAGTAGCTTCTCTCGTCATTACGGTCTTCGAGTAATAGACAGTTTGCAGTTGTTCGCCTGTCTCTCTTTTATGTCTCTTTTAGCGTTGAATAGCTGAGATTTCTTACGACGAGAAGACGAAGTAAAGACAGCAGCTGGTATACGTAGACAAATGAAAAAAATAAGATAGAAAAAAATATAGATGATGCGAACGAGAGCGAGAGAAACACTGCAAAAACCGAGCGCACGCGTATTTTTACGAGCCACTCGTGAAACGGAAGTCAATAAAAGAAGCCCCTTCCGTTCCCTCGTCCAACTGTAGTGTAATTAATTACGAAATGGTTCGGAGAGAGAGAGTCGCGAAGGCTCGCCGGGATTGGAGAACGCGGTAAGAGGCTATAAAAAAATTATCTGTACGATGCGCAGTCACTCTCGTGGTTTTCGTACTCGAGCTTGCTCGGACGCGGTACTGTGACAGCGAGATTTTTCCGATCGTTCTGCGTGAAAAAAGAAGAAAATTTATAGCGATGGTAGGTAATCGGTACACGGTGACATTAGCGCGCTCGAATATAAACAAGAAAGATAATGTAATCGCTTGAAAGATGTTTTTCAATTGTTTTATATGAAGAACAAACATTTCTAAGAGCAGAAAGTGTTTTTATGAGTAAACAAAAATAAAATACGTAATTATAAATTATATAATAACATTGTTGATATTTGTACGTGAGAAATTACGGGGAATAGAATTTTGAAAGAGAATTTAATTATTACGGAAAACTCGTGTACGTGCAGCTTACATACGTATGTGTTTCGAAGCAATTCTATGAGAGAGACGCGAGATTTTGACGACCACGAACAGCTGTTTTGAAAGAGTCTGGGAGTCACAATACCGTATTTCCTCGCTTGGTGCAGAAATAGACGGATTTCTGGGATCGCGAGCGCGCCGAGGTCTTTGACAACGGCCATTTCTGAAAGTGCTCCTGCATCTTTGAGAATTTCAACGTCGTCGTCGTCGTCGTCGTCGTCGTCGTTGTCGTTGTCGAAAGAGAAAGAGAGATGAAAGGATTCCGTGTATCCCCCTCCGGTTACGCTATTGAGCGATACATCAAACGCGAAACAAATTTGTGCGCGCATGACGACACGAGGGTGGCATTGTGATGTTATAAGATGTATCATAAGCGAAGTCGACGAAGCGAACTCTCTTCTTCGTTCCGCAACGCGACGCTCTTCGGTCCGTTCATCTCGCGGGATGTAATCAACAACGTTTCCAGTGCGCGCGGTAATGCGAAAAGACGTTTCTACGGTGGCGACTCAATTCTCAACGCCACGCGCGCTAGGACACGGTGTATTTGAAGGTATGGAAGGAAATATTATATGTGACGTTTTGGTATGTTGCTTTATCATGGTTACGACGAAGAAGCATCTGATAGAAAAGAATGAAGTAGCTTTAGATTTTGTACAACTGAATAAATTTCTCGGAAGAAACGAATTTTCAAATAATTCACTTCGTGTGTATCTATAAATATTATCCATTAGAAAAGATTAACAAGATACGCGCAGCATTATTCACGGCGAAAGGAAAATTATAACATCTCGTTCTTTTATTTATATGCAAAATCCGTCATTTATTTGTGATTCAATATATTTAATAACCCTACCCGTGCGTTTTGCGATTTCATGATGAACTGCGCAAACAAACGACTTGCACAATTTTGTTTATATTACGGATGGACATTTTATCCGCCAAGCAGCTATTAATAATTAGCAGCTTCACTTTTGTGATGAAAATCAAAGTGCGCAAAGAACGAAATGAAAGATAAATGACAATTGTGTATATCTTTCTCTCGCCTTCTCTTCAGGAGCTTTGTTATATAAGCATTAATGTAAAAACACAGGTGGGTTCATTAAGGGAAAACGAATATATCGTGTCGTATAACGGGCGAAATCAAAAAGTCTCTTTACGCTCTTGTACGCGCGACTGATCGCGTCATTTGATTAACCAAAAAGCCCCGATTCATCCCCGATGCAACTTTATCGGCGCATTACCAGGCGATGCAATTTTCGCTTTACACTCGGTAATTAATGGCAAATTTGCGAGTTTGCCATCGCAAAAAAAATTGCATAGTAAACAACCGATAAAATATGGAAGTTGTATATGGGACCGTAATCAAATCTCTTCTCTTGTGTTTTTAGATAATTAAAAATAGAAAAAACATCCGATAAAAAATGTGACAAAAATTCGAAAGAAAGTTGAAAGGTTTATTATCGTGAAAATCTCTTTTAAAATCATCTTTTGATTTTTATATATTTTATATGTTGTTATCATCTGAGAAACAATCAATTTTTGTGATAAATTTTATTAAAGAGAGTATAAGCGCATACAATGTATTTTTTACTTTATTACTCTATAAATAACCAGACTTTTCTGACAGCTTACAAAACTTTTTGTCCTCATAAACTTCTTTGACGTCACAATCTATTTGCGCTTATTTATGACTTGTTAGTACATACGTATATATAGACACAAGTTTTATCCGCGTCTCTTCATTCTCGTTTAAACTATCCGCGCACGTCTAATGAAATATAATTTGTCGTCGCCAAAATATGTGCGCGCGTGTGTTTCACGTTGGCCGGAATATAAATAACGAAAACGCTTTATCGCGGAAATATTAAATCACTGCGTCATTCTGTTCGCTTTTTCCTCCGCCTTTTCGACCGAACGTTTTGTCGCGCACGGTAATTTGCCGTAATAACGACGAATTTCCCGAATTTTTTGGCGCCGCGCCGTGAACCGATCTCAATGGAATTCCCACCTTGCTTTTCTTCTTTTCCGCCGTCGTAACGTCGGATTTTAATCTTGTCCGTCGCGAGAGAAAAATGTTAGGAGCGCGCGTTCTTTATATGCGCGCGAGCACACGTACTTACATATATATCCGTTTTAATGTACGCGACGTCTCGATCGTGTTTCAGGATCCGGCATCAAACCGCCGATCACCATCTTGAATTGTATCTTCGCCCGTCAATTGTGCTACGATGATCCGTCGTGCAGTGCCATTTTGGAGATTATACCGAGGGTTTGCGGTCCGGAATTAGGTGAGTAAATTAGATCATCTTTTTAGAGTTGTGCATAATAATTAATTAATTACTTCATTGCCGCTAATTAATCGTTAATTATACGTCATTTATGCTACGATGTTAACCATGCGTGGTTAATCGGGATTTTCAATATTGGTTTATATTCGAATTAATGATAGCCGGATCAGCAATAATCGAGGTAGATGGTACATTATTATCATACATCTAGAGTTGTGTTTGATAGGTCGGATATTTATAAATTTAATGTTTTCCCGTTACATTTTTGTTTGCGCACAGAAGCAACAAGGATACTCGATTGAATTAACATTTTATTTATTTTTTTTATTTTATGCTATGTTATACATTTTATTTTTATCAAACGTGCGCGCAAGTGATTTTATCGAAACACATATTTTGCGATTTATAATCCACGTGTTTATAAATTTTCATGTGATAATAACCGACAATAATTTGCAACATATATTTACGTAATAAATAAATCTGTCTCATTTTTAAATTACATATTATATACATTAAATATTTAAATTATATACATTATATGCATTATATATGTAAATTATAAATTATAAATTATACGTTATATAATAATTATTATATATATTATTATATATTTTATATATGTATATTATATAAAAGTGTGAAGGTAGATTGGATTAATCTAAACCGAAAAATCATGTACCAGTTAGCAGCAAAATTTGCAATAGTTATTGAATGATTACTTCATACACGTGATCCGCAATGAGCGCGTGAAAAGCAAAGAATTTTGTAGACATGTGTGATTTTTAATAATAAAAAAAAGTAGCTTACTTCATGCAATCTCTTAACAGCAAGAGGTGGAACAAACAATTGGCGTGTGACACAATTTCTTGCAATCGGCTGATTTTCACAACTGAATGTACAGTGTTCACAACTGTATATACAGTGTCCGATAATGATCATACAGTTGTTCGTCGGCTAGATAAGGAGGGTTATGCTGAAGAAAAAGTCATTTACTGCTTGGCGAGATTTGCAATAATTAAAGAGTTTTTAATAAATAAATATCCTCGAATAAGCGTGCAATTACATATTTCAGACAACCCAGCATTTCGTGCGCTTATGATTGTTACGCGCGACAACTGTGTGAAAGGAGTTATTATAAACAGCATATTGCCGTGCGCTTAGCAACCATAAGCACGCGAAACGCTAGCCTGTCTTGCGCACGTGAAATGCACGGTCATTTGCGAATTTTTATTATTCATATAATATATATATACGCTTTTGTACTCAGTTATTGTTAGTTATTTTTATGATAAGATTTTTATGTAATATGTATATTATATGCTGTTTAAGCATTAACTTCGCCTATTGAGTTGTCGTGCGCGTAATTATAAGCACGCGAAACGCTGGGCTGTCTTTTACACGTAGATGCATGCTCGCGAAACTTTATTAATTAAGAGGATGCTGAAACGACGGCTGAACTCCGATTCGGTTGCCGCTCAGCCTCTCATTGTCCAGTAAGTGGTGCCCTCTAAGATCGAGACAAGAACAGATGACATGATAAAGACAAGGATAAATGTATGTATCTTTTCGGCGTTTTTGCTAAGATTGTATTAATTTTAGTTTCATAATTTTTTTTATCACAAAGCTTTTTTTCATAAAACTTCTTTTTAAATTCGAAATATTCGTCAATTTTTCTAGTTTTTGCCGAAAATATTTTTTTTGTATTTATACGGCCAATTTTGTATAAAGCAAAAATGCAGTCTGTGTAATAAGTCAGTTTAAACTTTTTTTTTGGTTTTTTTGTATTCTTATGCTTTATGCAATATTTTAATATATTCTCTTTTATTATAAAGAAACATTTTTCATTCCGATTAATAGTTTCTACAAAAAATTGAAATTACACAATATCGGTAAAACAAATTCAGCATTTTCTTAAGAATTTGTTAATTATTGTAAATCTCTCCAAGATAAAGGACTTTTGATCTCAGTATAACTTTCTCTATTTGTTCGTAAATGATTATACGGCAATTATCGGACATTTTGTATATACAGGGTGTCTAAAAAATTTTGACACAGCAAAAGTTTAAAGATAGATTGGGTCAATTTCAACAGTTGTTCACTATTTTGTAAAACTTGCATTAGTTTTTAAAATATTAAGTAATGAATGTGAGTGAATAAACGCGTGGAAAATGATGGATTCTGTAGGCGTGTGTAATTTTCAGTTGTACTGCAGTGAAAATCAGCAAAAAGCTGTGTCACACGTTGCTCGTGCTTGTTTATTCTGCCTTTTGTTGCTTAGTTATTACAAATAAGTCATTTTTCTTTACAACTGAAAATCACATACGCCTATTAAGTTCGGATCGCTCCCCACACGCTCATTGGCTCATATTTATTAATTAATAACACAATAAATATTGCAAAGTTTACAAAGTGATAAATGACTTTCTCTGTTCGGATTAACTCTTCACACTTCGGCTGTGTCTAAATTTTTCAGACATTCTGTACACACACACGCACACACACGTTCATTTAAATTTATCTTGTTATAAAATTGATGCATTCCGTACTATTTTTCTGATAAAAAAAATGTGTGAAGCGCAATTTTGTACTATTTTTTTGATAAAAAAAATCAGGAGCGCAATGAATTGGTTTATTACAGTATACAACGGTTTATATATTTGGAGATAATGTTTAGAATGTGTTAATAATCGACATCTTACATATGGTTTTTGATGTAAATGATGCATCATTCACGTGTTTCTATTTGTAATAATTCCCGAGAAAAAATGGAAAACGTATGATCATATAGGATTATATATGGATCGGGTATAATTTTATATGATCCATACAAGATTTTATACAAGTCGGATGTGATTTCATGTGATCGTGCAAAGTCAAATTCAAACTTTGGCACGATCTGATCACTTATATATCATCTTATATGATCATATGTTTCTATTTTTTCTTCACATATGACTTATTATAATGCGCAAGTCGATACGTCAAAATTTGCAGGAAAAATAAAAGATTCGAACGCAGCGCAAATCGTCTTACAAAATAGAAATCAGCAGCTTTACTTCGTTCTAATATTGCTCTCTCTTCTGTGTAAAATCGTACATATTTATCGATTATACATCTCTCTCTTTTTTCCAAAAATAAAAGTAAAAATATAAAATAAGTACATCTCTTTCAAACGATTAATTATCCCCGAGACTGAATCCTCATATGTTATCAAAACAAGTATCAAGAAGAACGAATCGTATCTTTTCAAGCATTGTCAAAAATTTATATGAGAAATGCAGATATCATCTGTCTGCTGCAACGTCGACACGTTTACAAAGCTGACAATAAGTCTTCTTTGTCAGAATAAGTGTACGCAGATACTAAAATTATTGCGTTAACGCTTATACGAAGCCGAAGTCTTCTTTGTGGATCGAGAGATCGACGTATATAACAATAGTGCTTCAATAAACATAAAATTAATTTAACGTATAGATTTATAATAAATCTTATTAACACTTCAATTTTATTAACACGCAACATATTTATTTTTTATTCTTATGTTTATATAAATTAATCATGTGTATACTTCGAGCAAACATACTACTTAAGTTATTCGCATAATGAGACGCTATCCGGTGAATCTATATATCTCGTAATACAATACGCCGTCAGCGAAACATTCAATAAGAGTTTTAATTTTCCGCAGATTGCGTGCGATATTTGGCCTCCGTATATGTTGCTCTTTCTTATTATTTATATATCGTTCGTCTTGCAATAATTATGAACTCTAATGGAACTTGCATGCGCTACGTAAAATCTCGTATTAGTTCATGCCAAAATAAAAGACAGACCGCGACACAGCTTCGTATTTCGAAATTTCGCGACGCGGTTGACGCGCCCGTACCGCATTTCCATGAAATTTGCATGCGGATCCCGAAATACCGCGGAATTTCTTCTTATGGTAACGATGATGATATTAATGTCGGAATTTTTAGATCGCGCAAAAGTATAGCGGAACTTATGAAAGTTGTTTTCTTCATTTTTGTTAATTAGAATTCACGAAGATTATTTATAAACGTATTGAGATTGTGGTTTGAGTTTTTTGACACTATCTCCCATATACAATATCTACAAAGAAACTTGTCTTAAATGTAACATGTAGAGATTTCTGATATATCATTTCATGTAATTTCACAAAACTTTATCACCAGCGCGATTCGATTTTGTTTTTTTTTTTTTTTTTTACGGGCGTCGCAAATGTCAGAATCTATTTACGAAACGATTATGAATTGTAATGGATGCCGCGAGCGACAGTTCCATATCAGACATTGATAAATAAAAAGTGTATTTTGTGTCGCGCGCAAGAGCCACGCGGTCTTAGAACAGAAGTAAAAGGTAGATTTTTCCGAAGCTAAAAGCTTTCCGAAAGAGCAGCGCCATTTGTTTTACTTTCGTTCGGGCGATTACATGATAGATTATTCACGTAACTCCCCGGTATCAGAAAGGAAGCGCGCAAGCCGTGGCATAAATCACAATGGACGAGAGTGTCGTTGTTTTAAAAACTCCACATGTGCACACCCCGTGTGTTATACGTTGAAATAAAATATATAATAACGTTGCACTAGCCCCAATCCCGTCGTTCGAAGACGCGCGCGCGCTGCTTTTTAATGCGACATACGCCATTTTGCATTTTGCACGCGACAACGATGCGCGACGAGCACATTTCTTGCGAAATGGCAACGGTATTTCGCTTACAATTAAGAGACAGACGGAAGAAAGTGCGAACGGGGTGCTCTTCTCGGAGATGAGCAATGCTATTATATTTATACGTAGATGCACTTTTAATGACAGCATTGATTTAGAGCGTTGAGGAAATCAATTCTCAAACAACTTTTATTTAGGAGCGCGGAACTTTGATTCTTTTTAAATATTGATTCGAAATCGGGTATTGATTTGCGTAAAAATAAATTTATTCCCATTTTCATTCCAAAAAATTTATTATTTAAAAAATACGT